AAATTCTTAGAAAAGTACAACCTTCCAAGTCTGAACCAGGAAGAAACAGAAAATATGAACAGACCAATCACAAGCACTGAAATTGAAACTGTGATTAAAAATCTTCCAACAAACAAAAGTCCAGGACCAGATGGCTTCACAGGTGAATTCTAGCAAACATTTAGAGAAGAGCTAACACCCATCCTTCTCAAACTCTTCCAAAATATAGCAGAGGGAGGAACACTCCCAAATTCATTCTACGAGGCCACCATCACCCTGATACCAAAACCAGACAAAGATGTCACAAAAAAAGAAAACTACAGGCATATATCACTGAAGAACATAGATGCAAAAATCCTCAACAAAATCATAGCAAACAGAATCCAACAGCACATTAAAAGGATCATACACCATGATCAAGTGGGGTATATCCCAGTAATGCAAGGATTCTTCAATATATGCAATCAATCAATGTAATACACCATATTAACAAATAGAAGGATAAAAACTATATGATAATCTCAACAGATGCAGAAAAAGCTTTCAACAAAATTCAACACCCATTTATGAGAAAAACTCTCCAGAATGTGGGCATAGGGGGAACCTACCTCAACATAATAAAGGCCATATATGACAAACCCACAGCCAACATCGTTCTCAATGGTGAAAAACTGAAACCATTTCCTCTAAGATCAGGGAAAAGACAAGAGTGCCCACTCTCACCACTATTACTCAACAACATTTTGGAAGTTTTAGCCACAGAAATCAGAAAAGAAAAAGAAATAAGAGGAATCCAAATCAGAAAAGAAGAAGTAAAGCTCTCACTGTTTGCAGATGACATGATACATACATAGAGAATCCTAAAGATGCTACCAGAGAGCTACTAGAGCTAATCAGTGAATTTGGTAGTGTAGCAGGATACAACATTAAAGCACAGAATCTCTTGCATTCCTATACACTAATGATGAAAAATCTGAAAGAGAAATTAAGGAAACACTCCCATTTACCATTGCAACAAAAAGAATAAAATACCTAGGAATAAACCTACCTAAGGAGACAAAAGACCTGTATGCAGAAAACTATAAGACACTGATGAGAGAAAGTAAAGATGATACAAACAGATGGAGAGATATACTATGTTCCTGGACAGGAAGAATCAACATTGTGAAAATGACTATACAATCCAAAGCAATCTACAGATTCAGTGCAATCCCTATCAAACTACCACTGGCATTTTTCACAGAACTAGAACAAAAAATTTTACAATTTGTATGGAAACACAAAAGACCCCAAATAGCCAAAGCAATCTTGAGAAAGAAAAATGGAGCTGGAGGAATCAGGCTCCCTGACTTCAGACTATACTTCAAAGCTACAGTAACCAAGACAGTATGGTACTGCCCCAGAAACAGAAATATAGATTAATTGAACAAGATAGGAAAACCAGCGATAAACCCACGCACATATGGTCACCTTATTTTCATAATGGAGGCAAGAATATTCAGTGGAGGAAAGACAGCCTCTTGAATAAGTTGTGTTGGGAAAACTGGACAGCTACATGTAAAGGAAGTAAATTAGAACACTTCCTAACACCATACACAAAAATAAACTCAAAATGGATTAAAGATTTAAAGGTAAGGCCAGACATTATAAAACTCTTAGAGGAAAACATAGGCAGAACACTCTATGACATAAATCACTGCAAGATCCTTTTTGACCCACCTCCTAGAGGAATGGAAATAAAAACAAAATTAAACAAATGGGACCTAATGAAACTTAAAAGCTTTTGCACAGCAAAGGAAACCATAAACAAGATGAAAAGACAACCCTCAGAAAGAGAGAAAATATTTGCAAATGAAGCAACTGACAAGGGATTAATCTCCAAAATTTACAAGCAGCTCATGCAGCTCCATATCAAAAAAACAACCCAGTGCAAACATGGGCAGAAGACCTAAATAGACATTTCTCCAGAGAAGATATACAGATTGCCAACAAACACATGAAAGGATGCTCAACATCACTAATTGTTAGAGAAATGCAAATCAAAACTACGAGGTATCACCTCACACCAGTCAGAATGGCCATTATCAAAAAATCTACAGGGGTTTCCCTGGTGGTGCAGTGGTTGGGAACCCACCTGCCAATGCAGGGGAAACGGGTTCGAGCCCTGGGCATGGAAGATCCCACATGCCACGGAGCAACTAAACCCATGTTCCATAACTACTGAGCCCTGCACTCTAGAGCCCATGAGCCACAGCTACTGAAGCCTGCATGCCTAGAGCCCATGCTCCGCAACAAGAGAAGACACCGCAATGAGAAGCCCGCGCAGCGCAACAGAGTAGCCCCCACTCACCGCACCTAGAGAAAGCCCTAGCGCAGCAACAAAGACCCAGCACAGCCAAAAATAAATAAAGAAATAAATAGATTTATTTTTTTTAAAAATCTACAAACAATACGTGCTGGAGAGGGTGTGGAGAAAAGGGAACCCTCTTGCAGTGTTGGTGGGAATGTAAATTGATACAGCCACTATGGAGAACTGTATGGAGGTTCCTTAAAAAACTAAAAATAGAACTACCATACGACCTAGCAATCCCACTACTGGGCATATACCCTGAGAAAACCATAATTTAAAAAGAGTCATGTACCACAATGTTCATTGCAACTCTATTTACAATAGCTAGGACCTGGAAGCAACCTAAATGCCCATCAACAGATGAATGAATAAAGAAGATGTGGCACATATATACAATGGAATATTACTGAGCCATAAAAAGAAACGAAATTTAGTCATTTGTAGTGAGGTGGATGGACCTAGAGTCTGTCACACAGAGTGAAGTAAGTCAGAAAGAGAAAAACAAATACCATATGCTAACACATATATGTGGAATCTAAAAACTACGGTCCCGATGAACCTAGCGGCAGGACAGGAATAAAGACGCAGACATAAAGAATGGACTTGAGGACACGGAGAGGGGGAAGGGTAAGCTGGGACGAAGTGAGAGAGTGGCATGGACATATATACACTACCAAATGTAAAATAGATAGCTAGTGGGAAGCAACCGCATAGCACAGGGAGGTCAGCTCAGTGCTTTGTGACCACCTAGAAGTGTGGGATAAGGAGAGTGGGAGGGAGACGCAAGATGGAGGAGATATGGGGATATATGTATATGTATAGCTGATTCACTTTGTTATAAAGCAGAAACTAACACGCCATTGTAAAGCAATTATACTCCAATAAAGATGCTAAAAAATAACTGAATAAATAAATAATAAAATAAGCTACAAGGATATATTGTACAACACAGGGAATATGGCCAATATTTTATAATAACTAAATGGAGTATAAGCTTTAAAAATTGTGCATCATTATATTACACACATGTAACATATTTTGTTCAACTATATTTCAATAAAAATATTTAAAAAGAAAAAGTAAAGTCGTAGGATATTCTATCACTTCCTAAGAGAAGAACTTCATTTCGAACAAGACCTCCCCCTCTTAGCTGATGAGTGGACAGTCTCATTTCTTTCCTTAATTATTAAATTCTCATGCAACACTGCTGAGAGTCATTCTTGGTCCCAGGAAAGGATTTATGGAGGACGCATAGCCAGGTTCTGCTGACTAAACGTCTGCCCCTAGGAGGACCCAGTCCATCTTCCCATGGCAGCTCTGGGAGCTGCTAGCCCCCTGGATAGCCTGAATGCCCTCCACTCTGGCTTCCTCCAGCATCATGTGAGGACACTTCAGAAGGCAGTGTAGCACGGTGGTCAAAAACATAGACTTTGGAGTCAGACAACTCCAAGCTCCACGTCTTACAATCTGTAGAACCCTTGGCATGTACCTTAACATCTTTAAGCCTCCACCCTCTCATGTGTAAATGGAAATAAAAATGTTTTTATTTTGTGGGATATTTTGAGCATTAACTGAGATGACATAATTAAAGTACTCAGCACGGTGGTCGGAATAGTGCAAGCATTCAGTAAGTATCAGCTATGATGATGACGATGAGTAGTCCATAGCACTGGGGGAGACACATGGGCTAAGAGTAGGGCACATATCCTCCTCCTTCCCTCTGTTCAAGGTTGGGAGCAGCCAGGGGTAACAAAGCACCCAGAATGGCAAGTTTGCTAAACTAAGCAATTAGACTTCCAGGCTGGACTTAAAGTTGATGGGAGAACAACATAGTAGAGACTATGTATGCCAGCCTATGGCACAACTTGCACATTGAAGTGTTTTCCCAAGGGTGACCGTTATCTCCTGTGTTATCAGTTTCTATGTCTGTTTTCTAAATGCTGGATTGGCCAATGACTAGAATTTAAACAACTTTCTTTGTTGGGTAGAAATTCTACTACTTTGATTTCCTAGGAAATCAGTATAACCTTTAACCTTACCTCCCTCTGCCCTCCTTTCCACCTGATACTTCCTTCCAAGAATGTCAGATTTCAACCACCACCTTTTCTTAACAAACCTTAGAGACGCGATACTTCCTGAAAAAGTGGTTTTTGCAATCGAATGCCTCTAGGTAGTTCATTACAATTGCACCATTCCAGCTAATTGTTGCCTCATTGCACCATTCCAGCTAATTGATGCCTCTTTGTGGGTCTCATAAATGCTTCTTTGAGCTTTTTGCTTCCAGTTGGACCAGCTATGGCTTAATTTAACTTATTCTGGTATTGCTTTTTTATTTTTGATTTGTTCTCATTTAATCCCGAAACAGCACAGCATAGAACTTTTTGACCTGAATTCCCCTCTGAACCTCCCATTTTGCCCAAGTTGACTGTGATAGTAAGTGGTGGGCATCTCTCCAGCTTCTGAAAAATTCATTCAGCCTCTTCTTTTCTTGTGCATCTCTTCTGCTTTGCCAGGTCAAGCTGGGAACTGCCTGACTTGAGGGAAGGGAGAGTAAAAGCCATCAGTGACTCAGATGGGGTGAGCTACCCTTGGTACGGGAACACCACAGAAACTGTGACCCTGGTTGGCCCCACCAACAAGATCTCCAGGTTCTCCGTCAGCATGAATGACAATTTCTACCCCAGTGTGACATGGGCAGTGCCAGTGAGTGACAGCAATGTGCCACTGCTCACGAGGATCAAGAGGGACCAAAGTTTCACTACCTGGCTGGTGGCCATGAACACCACCACGAAAGAGAAGATCATTCTGCAGACGATCAAGTGGAGGATGAGGGTGGACATTGAGGTGGACCCTCTTCAGCTCTTGGGGCAACGGGCCCGGCTGGTGGGCAGGACTCAGCAGGAGCAGCCCCGGATCCTGAGCCGGATGGAACCTATCCCCCCCAACGCACTAGTGAAACCCAATGCCAACGATGCCCAGGTCCTCATGTGGAGGCCCAAGCGGGGGCCACCTCTGGTTGTGATCCCTCCTAAGTAGAAGCAGACTGGCCTGACTGTGTGTGGAGCACACGCCACTGAGACACACAGTGAGGTTGCCAGGGGTGGCAGGAGCCAAACTGAGTTTCTGAGCCAAAGCAGACCTCGTGGTTTGCCAGCCTTTGCAGCCACTTGTGAAGGGTAGAGCTGCTCCTTGGGTGGTAGAACCATAATCCTTAGGAAAAATCCCTTCCTTTTAGGAATAAAGAAATCACTGATTTGACAGACTTGCTGTGATTACCATGCAAGTAGCCATATTTTGGAGCTGACCAGGATGATTCTTTGAACTATTGACCATTTCTTTCCTGTGAGATGCAGGGGATGGAAACAAAAGTAAACAGTGCCTGTGGCAAATGCTGCTTCCCAACCAATTAGAAGTGGGAGTGAAAACATCCACACCAGGTGTTTGTAAGACATACAGTTCCACTGCCCAACTGGAGGGTGCTGGGGAAAGGGTTGGAAGGAAAGTCAGGTGGTGAAGAGAATGGGCAATGGAAGGAGGAGGGAATAATTTGTTATTGCAAAATAATACCTGTGCATGTCTTAGTTAATCATCAACACACTCACTGGAATTTAAGAAACGCTAAGAAAACTGGAGACATGATATTGGTTCCATTCTGAGGGAGAGCCTCCTAGGAACTGTCCAAGTTGCTGACCGTAGTTCTAACTGATGGTGACTCTCAATGGTTCCATCTACCCACCTCTTTCCAAAAACTGCTTATTTAAAGTATCCTCAATCACAGTATTTGGATAGATAGTTCTGTATTCTGCAATAGCTGTGATATTTGGGGCCTTCACCATGTTTTTAGTGAAACCCGAATTGTGATTTTGTTTACAGCTGCTTATTCTGTTCCCATTACCAGCCCTAAATTTACAAAAAGATAATTGTTTATAAGCCATGAACCCATGTAGAGTTTCAAGAACATTTCTACAAGTAAGAATAGTATTTTTACTGTTACACGTTCACACATGCAAGCACACATGCCAGGATATATATAGCATAATTACTAGCAGATTTGCCAGCTGTACCTGCATGTGTGCTTATAGGTTTTATGCATACCCAGTACATACACTGTGTACCTATATATGTTTATTTTAGCTCAACTTCCCAGAAGCTCAACTCTAACTGCTTGAGCATTTGTGAGAAAGTACTTCATAAGTCTTAACTTCAGACTCTTAATGAAAATCTGAGTTACTCACAGTAAGCAAACCTGTATTGCTGAGATCTTTAGTCAGGCCAATATAAACTTTTAAAAGTATCCAGTCTTTACCATAAGGATCACCACAGAAAGAGCTTTTAAATCACTACAAAAAGAGCTTTTCCTTTTATCCTCCATAGTGCTAATTTTGATTGATAGATAGATGATAGATAGATAGATAGACGGATGATAGATAGATAGATCCTTGTTCAAACCCCCCCATGCAAAATAATTATAAAACTCTCATAATATCATCGTGGATTTTATGGGTGGATACTGCCAGCCTAATTTCAGAGACGAGAGAGTTACGATTCAACACAATTATTACAATCCCATGGTTGGCTCCAGTGACCTGTCTTTTATCAGAGTTTGAAAAGGGAGAAGAAAAAACAGGAGGACTTGTTTATTACTTTTATTAAAAATGCAATTTAGTCTAATTTATTTCAGGTCCCAGGAGATGGTGCTTATTTACATGAGAGGGTTAACAGATCCGCTCCAAATTATGTAGTGTTAATCTCACACCCCAACCACCAGCTACTCTCTTATAGATCAGTTATTGATGGCAAGCTGAGCTATTTATAACACCACGTTAATGACACATCGGTGACTCACAGAAGACCTGGAGACATTCCATTTAGAAATAATTCAGCTATTACATTTGGATTCCTCTGTCGCTTCCCATGTTATGCCTCCTTGTTTTATGGGAGAGGTAGTCCCAGAGAGCTCCATGGTTTAAATATAAAACTGCTTGATTTCCACGTTGATGTCAGAAACAGGACTCTCTCCCTGTGAATGAATTAGATGCTACCCTTATGGAATTCTGGAGTGTGGATACTTATCCTGGAATCCAATCCCTGTTGGCCCTACTTTAAGAAAACCTGATATTTAAAAATCTAAAATTGTAACAAACAGAAGGTTAATGAGGAAGTATTTTTTACATTGCAAAATACTACACAAGATTTCTGCCCATTAAACTAAGACATTACTTACACAATTATGTTTATAGCATAACTTTTATCGTATTTATAAAGCAAGGTGCTACATACTTAGCTAGACTTGTTCCTACTGAAAACTCACACTTTTCAGAGTTTTAAAAGAAATGACCTCCCACAAGTTTTCTGGAAAATTATGTAACAACAAAAATGAGAAAAGTAGATGGGAAAGTGCTTATGAAAGTTAAAGGCACTGTGCAAATATACATTATGATTATTGTCAGTGCTACTGTTGTGAACTCCATAGTTGGGTCTCTCAATTCTGAAATCAGCCTGGCAGAATGCTCGATTGCCCTGCAGCCTATTATTCTAAAGTTATAGTTGCTTTACAAGGAAATGATCCCTTTTCTTTCTGTCATCCTTAGATCATTACCTTTCAGCTAATCAGGATATTGCCGAATGAAACTCTCCAACAAGAGAGAATTCACCTTGAAATCTCTGTTGGGGTCACCCCCATCCTCCCATGAGGCCTTTCTTCCCCTGACAGTCCCTGGGTCTGATGCCAGACACCATCAGCTTAAAGGGGCTCCTGTGGTGCCTTGATTAGGTTTTAGTTGGGTGGTCTTAGTACTATATTTGGATTCTAAACACATATACACACAACAGTTGGCACAAGAGTTTTTAATTCCTGTGTGGAAAAGAGCATTTCATTAGGTCATAGATTCTTTAGTCACCTCTGAGATTTTTTTATTCCATGATCTCAAGGAAATTGAGGTCGAGCTATATTAGCTCATCTATTCAGGGTCACATCATTCAAGGGGTCATAATTAGCAGCAGAGCCAAGAGAAGACCCTAGGTCTCCCATATCTCATATCACAGCATGGTCACACTTACCTAAGACCCACAGCTTTCCCCTTGTCTCCAGCCAAAGCATTGTCATCAACCTTGAGCCATTCACCCTTTTAGCACTAGAGACAATTGAATCCATCCTTTAAAGAATAGGGGGAAATCCTTGTCACAAGTATGTTCAAAAAATGAATGTTCCTGGTTTCCCTTTATCTATGCAAGCTGTTCTGAGATTGAACTCTTAATCTGGGCCCTTTGCAGCATCCTACATTCCCAGTTCATTGCTTTGGTCCACAGCACCCAGGAAGGTTGGAGGCGAGTTCATCCTCTGCCTCCCCTTCCATGGGCCTTTTTGCAACTCCCTCTTTCCTGTGCTAGGAATACCTCACAGGTCAAAATCATGTTCTCTGCAGTAGTTCTGAGCAGTAAAATAAAAGAACTACAATTTATGGAGTATTTTACAAAAGGCTTCCACATGCATTTTCTCATCCCCAGACAGTCTTATGAGTGTAATATTGTTGTTGATATTGCTATTATCCCCTTTTTACAGACAATAAATTGAGATCCAAAGGAGTTAAGAGACTTATCCATAGGCACACAAATAGAAAATGTCATGAGTTAGGATTCAAACTGAGCCACTTGACTCCAAATCCCATGCTGTTACACTATGCTGTGGTGCCTCCCGCGTTGTTCCCTGCCTAGAGAGCACAAGAGAACGAAGGAAAGGAGAAAGCAAGTCACTTTCACCCACACAGTCATGTAGTCCCTACCAGTCTACTAAGTGGACATATTAAAATAAGAGAAGTAACACTGTTTTCTTATGCAGAAAACTGTGTAATCCCAGGGAGATTTGCCCAGAAGAAAGCCTGTTGGGGGCTACAGTGTGGGAGCTGGCTGTCACTCGGCATCTCTTAACACAGTACTGGTAATTAGTGGAGTAGGAAATCTGCTCTCCTGGTCTGAGAATCCCTGAAACACCAAGAGCACAAAAGGAGGAGGAAAGCACGCATCCCACAGCTGAGGTCCCAGCTGAGCAAGGCCCTGCCACCCGCCATCCCTCGGTGCGTCAGGAGCAGCATGTGGGGCAGAGGTATTGGAAACAATGGCTTTCCAAGCTCCGGTTGGCACCTTGAACGTTCTTGCTAGAACTGAGGGCACAATTAAACATTGCCAGAGCCAGCTCCCGACTGAGTTGCAAAGAAAGATGTAAACACACACACACACACACACAGACCCGCTACACTCACACATGCTTCAAGCTGAAAAGAAAATTAATTAAAACCCCAATGAATGCCCGAACTCTATAATTAAGCCTAAAAGATCCTTAGATAGAAAGGGAGTGGAGTAAGCCAGCTCAGTGCCCAGAGATATTTTTACCCCAGAGTCTTATTGCCATTAATTTCTTCTGAGATCTTGAGTACATCTGGTTCCAGTTTCCCTGGTAGGACATCTGCCTATGGAAGGCCTTCAGAAGAGTTGCCAGCTCAGTGGCCAGAGGACAGCCAAGGTTGTTTGGCCATCATTAAACACTCTTATAGGAATGCCTCTAGGGAGACGGACTGCAGTTGCTCTCCTTGGTCAGCCATGCTCCCTCCCATGATGGATCCCATCACTAACTAACCTCAGTCCTCCTAATAATTCTTTTGAGGTCTGCAGTGCTTTACAGTTTACAAAGGGTTTTTACCTTCCTTTGTGTGGAGTAAAAAACATCTCTAATCAAGATAAAAAATCTTAGTATTGGTCTAATCTTTCTCTTCTTATTGTTATTAATAATAATAACTCCCATTTGATTAGTATGCTGCAGTTTGCATAGCACAGACACAAAAATTTTGTCATTTGATTCTCAACAATCTTATAAGGTCTGCTTTATATCCCCACTTTACTGACAAGGGATTTGAAAGTCAAGTGACCTGTCCAAGGTCACACTAATATCAGTGGTGCTCTTAAGATTTGAATCTCAGTCTTCTGGCACCACACTTTTACTCCATTCTCACAGAGCATTTTCTCCCTAGTTAAATGCAGGCATCCTTCTCTGCCTGTCCAGCCACTGCTATTCCTCAGGCAGGGCTGACTGACTAGCAGAGGGAGTCTTTGCAGGGTCACCCTAATGGATCTCTGGATGCACTTTGTCCAGACAGAATAAGCTGTCCTGAAGAGTCTGGGTTCAGCTGTCTCAGGGTCTGTGCCCTCAGGTGATTTCTCTCCTCTTCCACCTTGGAAGAGTACTCTGAGTCAGGAGGCCAGAGCCCAAGACCTCAGCATGACTTGAATTTTCTAAACGCAGCTGATGAACTAGACCTTCAGCAAATCACGTAATTCATCTCAGCCTCAGTTGTCTCCTTTGTTAACTGAGCCACTAATACCGCCCAGCCAACATCATAGTCAGGAAGACACAGCAGGATGATGTCTGGAAACACTCCAAAATGTCTAATGTGCTGCCTGATGTAAGGTTTTGTCACTTCAGTAGAATCATGGGGCCCAGGGTCAGTTGCAGGTCCTCAAGTGCCATTGAATTGGACGCCCAAGACCATCTCAGGGAAACCCACTGTCCCTGCCAAGGGAGACATGTCCTTGGGGGAAGGTGGGGCTTCTGAGCTCCCCCTGCCCCCAGACACCTTGATGGAGAGAACTGGACCCTGGCAGTCAAGAAAAGAAAGGAGACCACTGCATAGCCCTGTAGAAAGCAGCTCTGGGCAGAATTTATAGCTGGAATTCCAAGAGTTCCTTTCCTTTTGGAAAGGAAAAGAGGTTGATCGGATCTGGGCCGGACTTGAAATCCCAGCACAATTTGCCTAGTTTAAGTCTCCTGGAGAAGCCAGCCGGGAACAGCTATGTTTTTCCTGTCACTGGCTCAGGCAAGAGATACAGAGGGAAAAATTATTAGCATTATATGTATATATAATTTTATGTGGTTCTCCACTGGCCTGTCTGTCCCTGGACGGTTTTTGATGCCCCAGATCTTGGCTGGGACGG